ACTTCATAATTACTAGGAAAGAGAGGTGTGTTTGATCAACTAAGACTGGTAAAAATACTTTTTTTTTCTTTCTTACATTCAAAAATACATTCTTACAATTGCATTCGTTCTTCCGCAAATGGATGCTTCCAAAAATATTCCAATGGTATTTATAATTTTATACTATATTTTATCAAAAATATTTTTAATTGTTTTTCGATTATGTTTCTCCCAAATATGTTATAAATACATACGTAAATTAATATAATAGATCTTATTTCGAAACATATTGTTATAAACATATGTTTTTGTTAATGTGTAGTCCATATAAGTTCTATTTTCTAATATGTATTTTAACGCTAATATACGCAAGAAATTATGTTTAACAACACAGGAGAAAAAATTCGATTGTATATAAATATAATATTTCTGTTATTTATCACTAAAGAAATCTGGATAAATATTGGCATATTGGCAAAACTGTGTTACCTTTTCGTGATTATTTGCGAGACTAGACACTAAATTTTAAGTGGTAAATTAAAAACCAAAGTAATTAGTAAACATCTTTATCAAATTTATAAATATAGTCCAAACTAACCTCTTTTTCCCAATAGTCTTACATATTTATTTTTCATAATAAAAATGTCAGGTGAAAGTTCAGCTTGTGTTCAAAATAAAGTTTCAAAAATACATTTTTTTATATTGGAATACTAAGTATTCTAGATTTATTTTTATAATATTAATATTTTCTCCTAAAAAAATTCAGATCTAATTTATCTCTTCCAGTGATGCTATTTCAAGTGAGCATCTGAGCACCTTCATAAACTCCATACTCTCCACTTGTCACAACCCTCGAAATTTCTACGGACATAACTTGGTGGAACTTCTGAAAAAACAAGTGGCGTCTGAGAATTTCACGCATCCGGCATCTTACTTGGCCCTCTGCAACGCCAACGAAACATGGCCGGACAAAGCATATGACAACCTCCTGAAAATGTACAAAAGCGCATCCGAGCTGCCTTTTAACAGAGGTAAAAGCTTTTCAACGAAGATTTTATTGTCATTTAATTTTTCAGTTATTTTATATAATTTTGACCATGTCCAAATCCATTTCGGGCAAATTCTGGCTAAAATTATGCGCAAAACAGGCAATTCATGTTTTTTTTTCTCTCTCTCCTTTTTTTAATAAAATTTTTTAAAATCATTAAAATTGTATAATTAAATATCAACCTTATTAATTGTATACTTCTTTAAATTATCCAGCATAATATTACCTTGCACACATCCATTTTTGGACTGATCCTTGGTGACCAACAAATCAAGCGCATTCAGTACTGCTGAAAGAACGCACTATAAAATAAAATCCCTCTATTTACGCTTTTATCTGTATTTGCGCTTCCGTTTTCATATTTTGTGATCTGGCAATCTAACTATGAAAATATTTTAAACCATTTTTGAAAATTTTCCCTTTCATGTAAGTTCATTTGAATTCGCTACTCACTTTAATAGATTTCGTTTAATGTTTTATTCTGTTTTTCATTTAAAAAAAATTTCTATTTTTTACGTGATTTTCATTACCTAATGTGTTCTGTTATATTTCTTTGTAAAAAATGTTTTTTTTTCTTTCTCAGTGCTCCTCACGCTATTGTTTTGATATATTTTGCTTTGGCTATAGTGATACAATATTAGAAAGCACTCCTTCTTACGGATATAATCGTGTGAGCTGATGAAGTGATTATATATTTTTTCCCGGATTTTTATATATATATATATTTTAAAATAATTTTTCCTTTACTTATTTATTTTTTTAAATAAATTCCTTTTTCTCTTTTTTCCATATTCGGTAATTTTTTCGATGTTTTCTTTACTTTGTGCATATATATATATA